TCTGCGTAGCAGAAAATTTTGAAGCACAAGTTTGTATTATAGCCTTTATTTAATGTAGTTCAACTCGTGTTTTCTATTACGTGTTCTCTTTTTGTTGTTTTCTCGTTCTTTATTGGATTTGGCCTTTTCAATAGCTCGTTTTTGCCTATGAGTTGATTGGTCTTTTAGAATTCAGAGAAAAAAAGAAGAAGGGATTCTGGACTTAGAAATAGAAAAGTGTATATTACCTCTCATATAAAGAGTCATCTGGAGTGTAGCTGTATGTTGTCTTTTCTCTGCTGATTGCAGCTTTTTCTAGCTTTTTAGATAGAAGAAGTTTTCTTGGAACTGCTAGAACTCATTCTAATTCATGGAAAATTATTGGCGATATTTTTCTTCTAAAACTTTTGACAGTTCCCGTTAATTAGTAAATAATAAGTAAGTGTGAATTACCATATGACTAGAACACCATGAATGCAATCATCTTTAGAAATTTAGTTATTTGCCTCGCATACTTGCAAGCCTAGCACGAGGGAGCATTCATGCGTAAACGTAACTCACACCGATATGTTTTGATTGCTAAAAATAGGCAGACACGTTTGAAAGCACGCACGGATTAACATAATGTTTACTATGCTGAAAGAAGTCGAAAATAAAGTTTCAGTCATTTAATTAACCACGGCTGCATTGACCAACGTTGAGTTAAATTATAAATAAAATCAAAATAAAATAAATAATATCAACATTCTGGAAAATGCTCTCGCGTATCAATTCGTTATGCACTTCCGACATCGCAATACATTTAGAAGGAGTATGCCAACCCATTTTGATCAGTGCTTTGAGCTATTCTTCTCAATTGTTGTAGTAATTAAATAAACTTAGCCTGAACCCTAGCTATGAAAAATTAACTATTAAATTATAAATTGATCCTGCTATTAAACATCTCAATCACTGCTTTTGCTTGACCATGTAACATGCATTTAATAAAGATTTGATGATCCTTATTCTCTGCTGCAAAGCTCTGCAAGTAGGTTAGAGACATTTATAAGAAGAAGTTCAGGGAACGAGCAAATTTTCTGTGAGACTATTACATGTTTCTTGTTTCTCCATTAACTTCATTTGAAAGGGCCGAAGCATCTGGAAAGCTTTGGAGTGATGAAGAAATTCTTTCTATTACATCTACATTGCGAATGTTAGATAGTCTTCGAAATCAAGCATTTAAGAGGGGAATGTTTAATTTCAACAATTTTTCTTTATAGACTGATTATACAGTTAGCTAATCTGAAAAAAAAATTGATTTTAACAGGAGGCATGCATTTTCAAGTCGTAAAAACTTTACAGCTAAATAGGGCGAAAAACCTTGCCACGATTTATATATTTCTTCTATTCTCTCATATCTCACTGAAACGTCATATTGCTATTGAATGGCGAAAATTGCTTGCCTACGAGTAATTAAACCTTTTTATGTGCACCAGCAGGTGTTCTCTGTTGTCATAATCGTGCTGTAAATAACAATAAAATGATGGAAGTAACTCCTACTTGCAGCAATTT